CCAGCCTCTCTGCGCCCTGCTCGGAGTCGGAACCCTGTCCAGGGTCCTCCACATCCTCCAGAGCCCACTCATAGGGCCCCTCGCTGTCAGAGTCTGGTGGCTCCTGCTGGGCCACAACAGGTAACTAACAGCTGCTGTCAACCAGCTTCACAGATGAATTACTTTGTACTTCAAACTAGAGGACTATGTTACTAACATATTCCATTTCACAAGATGTGCCACGTTAAAAACAAATGCAGTAAATTAAAGCTGCCAGCAAATTATCTTTACTTTAGTTTACAAGAACTTTGAACTATAAGGCCTGAACTATAGATTTTCAATACTTCATGGACACTCATTAAATGCCATATCTGTAGGGACAAAAGTATGACAGAAAGTAAAGGAATTCATCCTTATTTCAAAAAGGCATCTTTAAAACCATTCCACAACCTGGTATAATATTCCTCCTGTACCTGACAAAGAATGAGGAAAAGGTGGATTTCCAATGATACTGAATGTCACTTAGATAAATGACTCCTAACCTTTAGCGATACTGCAGGGCTTCCTGGTGTGAACAAAAATAAAGTAAAAATAAGTCTTCCTGTCAGGTGAAAGTAAGAGATGGATAAACCAGTTGTATTTATAATCAACACTCACTTTCAACTGTAATCTTGACTGCCTTGGATACACTGCCATGTCGGTTTGTTGCATTACACCAGAAGGTTCCATTGTTAGCTAGGATTCTTTGCCCTTGGCTGAGAAAATACGATCTATTATCTTTGGTGCATATAATTTCAGGAGGTGGAAACCCATCAGCTTTACAGAGAAAAGTTGGCAGTGCCTCTTCCACCAATGTCCAGTTGCTTGGACAATTGGATTCATCCATTTCTGGCTTATCTGGAATATCAGGAAAGGGTATGATTTGAAAAGGTGAGGTACAGGTGTTTAAAATCTTAAAGCTAAATTAAAAATTCATATTAAAAGTCATCAAGAAATCAACTCTTTTCATTCTCTTTAAATGTAGGATTCTGGCAAAGTTGTTCACATATCAAATCATGGTTTGAGGATGAATGGAAAAATAAGTTAAGAAAAAAAATGTCTCATTTAACACTGCCTGTAACTTGAACGATTATCTTTTCAGTACCTTTCCCCCCCCCCCCAAAAGTATGTTTTAAGATGGACGACAGTTCTGACAATGGTGCAAATGAGAATTTCTTTAAGAAGCAATTTTGAAATAGAGAAAATACCTTTTGGAGGAAAAAAAATACCTCAGTTGAAGTTTCCAACTGGGGAAAAAGACCACTAAAAGAGGAAAATGATAGGAAAGTAATGATACACCCCCCCCCCCCGGCTCATGATTCTAATCTGATCCATAAGGGCCCCCTCTCTTGCAGCAAGAGTTAAAAGCTAGGTGAGAGATAGTTATGAAAAATTAAAAAGTACAAGAAAAATTAAGGAGTACCAGAATGGCATTTCTTATTTTGGATCACTTCTAAATGGCATTTTAAAAGAACTCCTTGCCAATGTACCCATCTCTGTTGGGCTGAAATCCATGTTCACTTACATTCCACCTGGATGCTCACAGCTCTAGAGATGGAGCCATGGATGTTTGTAGCTGTACAAAGATAACTTCCAGCATATTCTCTGGTGATGTTCTGGAGAATCCCAGGACTATAAGCCATTCCATCTTTAGTGCATTCAACAATTGGTTCTGGGTTTCCCCAAGCGAAACAGGTGAACACATGTGGTGTCCCCACTGTCAGAATCCAGTTAGGAGGACAGCTGGAATCATCCATCTCAGGCTCATCTACAAGATTAAAAAAAAATCCTGATTTTTCAGCGAATTGTAGGAAAATATAGATCAACAATATACAAATGGTGCAGTAAGCGATGATGTTTGATAATTTCTATTGGAGAGGGAATATTCCATGTCTTAGCAATCCCTGTTTTAAAGATTCCAGATCATATGTTGAATATACATACATAGCCATAGATAAAAACACGTTATGGAACTTCGGTTTTTCAGTTATTAACCCACACAATTTGCATGCAATAGTGAAATGGTATGGGGAAATGACCCTGGAAGACAAGGGAAAGAGATCCTGCCTAGGGGAGCAATCAGACAGGGGACGTGCAGTCACTAGAGGCAGGGGAGGCGTGGCCTCACCAGTCATGAGGAAAAGAAAAGAATTTTAAAGAATTTTTTANCTTCATATCCGGTCACATGGGCGGCAAGCCACTCCCATCCGGTCACATGGGCGGCAAGCCACTCCCACAAAGGAGGCCACTCCCACAGAGTAGGTTCGAACAATTTTTGAAACCCACCACTGATTCTGGGTATATCTCTAAGTGAAGACACACACAAAGTGGTGCTAGAGCTCAATGCAATATATCCCTTTCTAGAGAGAGGTGCATTACTCTATCCCCCATCCCACATTCACATTCTCAGTCTGCAATTTCAACATAGGAATGACTATGGCCTTCATTTGAAAAGGAAGTAGTCAAGAACCTCTATGGTGATTCTAAATAAGTGTGCTACTTTGCCCTAGACATTGAGGTAGTGTATCTGAACAAAGGATGCAGGTTTTTCCCCCTGTTTTCATGACTCCTTTTTTAATTTACTTTGCATGTATGCGTTCACATACTTATGAAATTATGGTAGCATTTCCTCTTATTTTCCTAAGTGGCCCTTGAAACATAATGGCTGTGTCTGCATGAAGTAGCACAACAACTAATTCCCATTGTTAGTTTATTGTCCTTGGCATCCAGGACAGTGATGACATCAAGTGGAGGTAAACATACTCTAAGTCAGTGATGGCAAACTTTTTTTGGCCAAAAGCGGGGTGAGCACAGGGGGGGTCATGCGCTGGCATGCCACACCCATAATGGTATGTGCATGCCCCCCCCACATGTGCACCATCAGCGTCACCCCCTGGCTTTTGCTGCCTTTTTTTCCTTCCCCAGGCTGCAGAGGCTTTCTAGGAGCCTGGGGAGGGCGAAAATAGCCTCACCCCCCACCTGGACGTCCTCTGGAGGCCTGAGGAGCTTCCCTGAAGCCTCCAGAGGGCAAAAAACACATCTACGGGGAACCCGGAAGTTCAGGAACTATCAAACCGCTTTCACACCCTGAGACAGTACAGCTGTTCCAAAATATCCCACCACTTATTTTCAATGGAAATGACTTTCAGAGAGGGGGGAGGGGGGACCCGTTTTACTATGCAGATCGTCCTCGATTTATGAGCACCCAAATTCTGTTGCTGACACAAAACGTTCGTTAAGTGAGTTTTGCCCTATTTTACTACTTTTCCTGCCACAGTTGCTAAGGGAATCACTGCACTAGTTAAATTACCAAAAACGGTGATTAAGTGAACCTGGCTTCCCCATTGACTTTGCTTGTCAGAAGGTCGCAAAATGCACTCGCATGACCCCAGGACACTGCAACAGTCATAAATGTGAGTCTATTGCCAAGCGTCTATATTTTGATCACATAGCCATGGGGATGGTGCAATGATCNTAATCCACAAATTGTAAAATGGGGTGCAGAAAAAGCCCAGTAACTATAAAGCATCCTAATTTTGTAGTATAATCAATCATTTTTTTAAAAAGCTTATGTCCTTGCTCCAGTCTCAATAATGCTCAAATGCTTTTTAAAATTCTGCTTTCCTATGTTTCGCTGATTTATATTTCTTTCTTTCCTCACTCATATTTCTCACGGGATTACTGAAAGCCAAACCTTTACGAATACCAATCTTCTTCAGAGGTTTTTTTTTTTTTAGTTTACCTTCCTTCATCTATTTCTAATATATATTTCCTTGTTGCTTGCCCAATCTCTTATTATGGGATATAAAGATTTTCACTTTCACATGTCAAATGCTTCGACGCAGGTTCCTCAAAATGAGAATTCAACATAAAAACACCGACAGGTTTTTTCCCCCCAGATGTGCTGTAATAAGAAGAACGTTTTTCTTTTTCACATCATGTGTTATTACCTAACAGAATGGACTTGGGAAACAGATTACAAACTGTCTAAACACTAGACAGGCACAAGATGGAATTTAAAGTAGCAAATACAACAGGCTAGGATCAATACTCGATCAACACTTTGAAATAAATCAATTTTAGTAAATATTTAATCACACGAGCTGAAAATTTGATTGCTTGTGATTATTTGTTTTGTTGCATTTAACTTGGTATATTATCAGCTCCTGGAATTTTTCAGCAGTTTCCCTAAAACAAACTTAAAATATTAGGAGTGGGGGGTGGGATAGGAATTCAAACTAATAAAAGCAAGTAAAGCAAGTAGAATTAATGATAAAGAAGCCTGCTCAAAAAGATATGTCAAGAGCCACTTTTAAAAGCTAATAAATCTGTTAAGCTCCTCGGCTCTGCAGCAAGTACATTCCAGAGATGTTTAGAAAAGCTTTAGAGTATTTTTTGTTTGATCAAGTCCCCGTAATAAATGGATGCAGAATGTTTACAGTTAATCATTGGATCAACCAGAGAGAAACCAACCTGGAATAAATTAACCCTTGATTTAATGAGATATATAAGCATTGCTGAAATCATTGGAAAAGGGTAGAGTTTTAATACATTTCATTTATATGTATTTCTTTTTTAGGCTTTCCACAATCATTATGACGTGGGGAAGCCTTACAGATTTGATCAATAATATATCTGCTAAATAAATACATGTGGAACATCCAGAAGAAAAACCCTTCTGGATCTGGCCATTGGGGCACTTAATCCATAATTTGTATTATACAGTGGCCAGTCAGACGTGATCAGGAATATATGGAAAGGAACATAACACAGCTAGTCCTCAACTTACATCAGTTCATTTAGTGACTGGTTAAAGTTACAACAGCTCTGAAAAAAGTGGCTGATGACAGTTTTCATACTTATGACCTTTCCAGCATCCCTGTGGTCACATGATCAAAATTCAGATGCTTTGTAACTGACTCATATTATGATGGGTTGTAGTGTCTGACTCATATTATGATGGTCATATGATCGTCTTTTGCTACCTTCTAACTAGCAAAGTCAATGGGAAAGGCAGTTTCACTTAACAACTGCAGTGATTAAGTTATTAACTTAACAACTGCAGGGATTCACTTAACAACTGTGCCATGAATGGTTATAAAATGGGGGGCAAAACTCACTTAACAATTGTCTTGCTTAGCAACAGAAATTTTGGGCTCAATTGTGATGGTAAGTTGAATTCTACCTGCACAGATGATCCTTGTTTAATAACTGCTTGTTCAGCAATCTTGTGACAGCGCTGAACAGATGGTATTCATAACTGGTCTTCAAAGTTCAAACCATCACAGTGCCCTGCAGTCACGTGATTATGATTTGCATCCTTCTGTGCTGGCTTCCAATAAGCAACGTCAATGGGAAAGCCAGAGGGAATTCAGAAGTCACATTAATGTAATGTGAAAGTCTCACTTAACAATAGTAACCTGGAACAGCTGTCACTAAGGTGGCATGGTCACATGATAGCGCACTTTCAGACTGCATCTTTTAGTGACAGAAATTCCAGTCTCAGTTACCATCATTAAGTGAGAACTAATGGTAGGTCCTGTCTAATACTGGTCCCTACTTGCTGTTATTTATCTAGCAATCAGCCATCAATATCAGTATAAGAGCCGAGGTGGCGCAGTGGTTAGGGTGCAGTACTGCAGGCCACTTCAGCTGACTGTTATCTGCAGTTCAGCGGTTCTAATCTCACCG